TTTTACAGAGACGAGCCCACCCAGAGACACCCCTCTTCCCCCCCCCCCGTCCTTCCCACATAAGAAGGAGTGAAAACCCGCAGGGGGCACGGCTACCCCCCCAAACCACCCGGAAAATCAACACATAAGGTTATCCCCCCCCCCCCCCCCACCCCCGTCAAGTCAAGAGGGCCTCGTTAATAGGACAACCTTATTGAATTCTCTCTTCCGGACTTGAGAGGGCTTAAAAAACCGATCCTTGTCTGGCAACATGTTCTGTTATACTGCAAATTAGGAAGTCCCTTGACAGAGTGAGCTTGTGACAAGGAGTTCATCCCAGTGCTTTCAATAACGACAGACTGACAATAACTGTGACTCAGGCTTATTGAATAAGCCAGTCATTTAAGGCCAGTCATTTAATATAAGGCCCATCCTTGCCTGTGGAACTGCATAATACTCTGTTACATTTTGTTTAGAAGATTAATATTGTAATGACCACTTTCCTGGTCACAGCCACCCAATCCACCACCAGTAGCCAGTTATTGAAAAAGTTATAATTGAAACCGCTGCAGTCTTCGAGTATATTATATTGAAAGGCCTCTTTCAACTCCATAGTTTTCCAACTAGCACATTGTTGGTAGTATGATTTACTTGTTTATGTTGCTTATGACTAGGTTTTGGAATTGCTTGTCACCTGGGGGTACTGACAGGCATCCCTACAGTAGGTGTGGCTAAGACTCTTTTCCATGTTGATGGGATTCAGCGAGACTCCCAACATGCTGACCAGGTCAGGACTAGTGAATATGTTACAGGACAAAATTAAATTTAGGTTTATAAAGATTTGGTTTAAAAAAGTCATTGGTTTATTAAACAATTTTTTCTGGGGTGACCAGTTAATGCTGAAATTTGGTTTTTCTCATGTTGTCAATTGACAGTAATCATTGGTTTGCTTCCTTTATCAACAGATCAAAAACCTTCTCAAAACTAGCGGAGATAGCTTTCCTCTTCAAGGCTCTTCTGGTAAAATATGGGGCAAGGTAAATTTCTTTAGCTTCATTTTGCAATAAATTATATGGAAGAAGTGTGGAAAATAAGGCCATGCATAAGTTATTCATTTTTCTTTTAGAAAACTACAAGCTTAACTGTGGGATAATTCAGCATATTTTGATTTCATTTTAGGCTCTAAGGAGTACTCACAGATCATGTAACCCTATCTATGTGTCGGTTGGGCATAAGATAGGTGGGGGGGGGGGGGGGGGGGGGAGGATGTTGAAGCTTCGATTTGACCGATACATTATCATTGTCTTATGATTAAGTCACTTTATATTAACCGCACTAATTCACCAACTGCTGGTCTTAAATGATTTAAGGCAGGCGTTAAATAATTCCAGGTTTCCCCTCACTTTCAGAAGGGCTGAAAGGAATAAAGCCCCAATTGACTTCTGATAATGACATCCAGCTGACATCCAGTCCCTTTAAGGTAAGTCAACAACAGGGATGAAGGGTGGCTAGGATTGAAGGGGTTGCAGGGATAGGTGTGAACAGATATTCTAGCTCCGTTCACTAAAACGTACAGGGCCTTACACCCGAAAACCTGCTGTGGTTATCCAAGAGCTACCATCCACTTAAAGAATACGCCCAACAAACCTCGTTATTCGCAGAAAACTTTTCACAAGCTGTAACACAGAGCTCCATTGCTTCAGTTCGCATTTCGTCATTCATGTCCGAATACTGAAAAAAAAAGAGAAACATATTTGACGGAGGTGGAAGGCCTTCGCACTGAATTTCATTATAACAGGGGCAGCCTTGCATCATCCTCCCTAAACTTAATTTCAACTTACGCGAATCAGCGGATAACTGTGAAGCCGCTTGTAATCATATCCTCCAGTTTCCTGGGCTACACCGCCTTCTGGATTCTCTGCCATAACTTCTCTATCTTTTCATAGACTTTACCAAGATGGCGGCGTAAAACTGTTATGGTCACTAGTTGCTATGGAAATACAAGCCTCGCTTCCAAGTCACAAGTCAACCTAGCGGGAAATTGGCGCGAATCTTGCAAACTAAGCGATTGATCTTATGCAAAGTTCTTGAAATGTTGTGCAACGTTCCCTTTTTTTTCGGCCCTTATGAGAGATGATGATCACTTTTGCAATGCACTCTTCATACGAACGTTCCACATTGTGGTGACAATGAATCGCATTTTCCAATGCTTAGGTGTAATGTTCACTAGTTAAGAGGAAGTTCCAACGAGTCAAAATGGCTTCCAATGATTCGGAAGAATCGGAACAACGGGTTGTAAATGAGATGGTGGAAACATGGAAAAGGTTGGATTAGCTCTCAAGAAACTTCCAAACTTAAATTTTTTGTGGGCATTTTAGTATGAAACCAGTTAATTTTTATTTCTAGAAGTAAACCGGATTCAGTCGATAAATAATTGATAGCGATACAATCGGTATATTTAATCGATGCCAATTAATCGATTAATTGGAAAATTTTGTGAGTTGTTTTGCTGTTAGATCGGTTCTTAACAAAGCAACAACTCTTAAAGTGATCTCACTGTTACCTACGGTATGTGATATCAATGTCAAGTGATAGCATAGATTGGGTCTTTCTTCAGGTACCCTCATCCCAAAAGAAACAGGGGAACCAAACAATACAGTTCTTCTGGAGGCTTCATTGTTTGGTCGATTGTTTTTTTTGTTGTTTGTAATCTCTGCCTAGGTGAGTTGATCATCAATTTGCCTATGACAATCCAAATCTGTAAACTAACACCTATTTGTTGACTGAATCCCAATCATTGATTTTCATCTGTTGACCAGACTGGGTGCATATTATTCTTAATTATTATTCATTCAAAATATTTTCCCGATTCTGATTGGCTATAGGCACTCGTTTAATTCACCATAACCGGTTACTGATGACCAAATTTGGAATAATTTTGTGTTTAACGAGGAAATGACGTCAAAAATGCAGAGTTTTCGCAGATTAAGACACCGTTAACTGAGAAGACCTGGGGATGAGGTTGAGTTGTTTTGATTGTGAACTTGAAAAATGTTGGACATTTCACTCGTTTCAAGAGTAAGAACTAGGCGAAAACATAGCTAAAAACATGACAAGAACAGCAAGAAGACAACTCGAAGGGCGACATCTGCGATTTGGAGAATATTTACGGAGCTGGACAAACCTAATCGTGCACTATCGAAGATGAACTTAACATCGATGGATCGATGGAGGCAGTAGCATGTTTTAGCCATATTTTCAAAGTAGGAATTATTTTGAATGAATAATAAAACAATTATTGAATTCGGCTTTCGTATCATATGAAGAATTATGGAGATCTCGGAGGGTGTTATCCGCCTCGGCCNTCGGTGCCTAGTTGCCTATAGAAGGAAAAATTAATTTATTTGTGACTTGATCATCAATACCTATAGCAATCCAAATCTGTTAACTAAGGCCCGGTTCAGATGCTGATCAACCTTTCATGAGCTGAACCTAATTCGAATTAAGCCCGAACCAAACTATTTAGACCACCTGAATTGATTCAGATGCTGATCTTTATTCCAGCTGAACTAAATTCAAAAGGAGAAAAATGCTCATTATGTTCAAACTGCTTGCAAAATACATTATCATAATTTATGCATTAGATTAGGTACATGAAAAGTTCACCTTCTGAATCGAAGCCATTCCAAAGTCGATCCATAGTCGAAGTTCCCTGCTGGGCTAGGCAGGAAGAACGGCTGAACCATTCCAAGTTGAAATAGGCATTCCTATTTGATTCAGACACCTAACTTTTCATGAACCTAATTTAATGTACTGTATTAGGTTTGGCTCACGAAAAGTTCGGCATCTATTCATTGATTGAATCCCAATCAATGATTTTCATCAATTGACCAGGCTGGGTGCATATTATTCAGAATTATCAGCCCCACCTTATTTTTAGGGGAAACTGAAGCCTGCAGAGCCAAGAAAAAAAACGATATTTTCGAGGCTGGCCTCCCTTTTGTCTTAGGGTTTTCATGGGGTGGATGAGCGGGCTCCTCCTACTTGAAAAACTGAATCCACCACTCCATTTTTTAGGGAACAAATTGAACTAAAGAAGAAGCTTGTGACAGATGACTGCATTAACTGGGGAGTTTCAAGTGATGAGCCTTTCAGTGAATTGAATCTGATTGCTGGAGTGGATATTTCTTTTCCTAAGGGAGATGCTGATCATGCTTGTGCGTGCTTAATTGTGCTTAGTTTTCCTGACTTAAAGGTACAGTAGTGTATCCTAGAAGTTCTTTCATTACCTGATTCTCAATGAATTTTTACAAATTTTTAAACCTGCCCAAGTAAAAGAGAGTCAAGTTTTTGGCTGGAAAATATAGTGCAGTTCAGGCAGAGTTGGATACCCTAGATTACCTAGGAGCTGATCCTACAATGACATGAGTGGCACTGTTCCCATATCCCAGTGAGATGCTCGGCAAGATCCCATGCTGAAAGAATCTTGCCTATTCCCCCGTGCAGTGATAAAATAATTTTATCAATTATTGGTTTTGAAATCTTACCAACTATGAATATCCTTACCAATTTATTATAGTTGTTGTTGGTGTTGTTCTTGGTATTAAGTCATAATAATTAGTTAGTGAAATTGGTCCATTTTCCATCTTACTTTGGGATGACCCTTTCAATGTAGAATCTACCCTTTTCTAGTAACTTAGTCATATTCTTGTCCCTATTGCTTCTGTTGTACTACATTTTGAATTTAAACCTGGGGCCAAAGTAATAACCCTTAAACTAGTGGAGTATTGTGCAAAGCAATTATGTAGATTTTAATGATATTGTTTTTCAGGCTAACGCCATAAATTTTGCAGTATGTAGTTCAGTAAAATTGTGTACTTCATTGCAGAGGATCTTGCTGATAAAGATGTTTAAATATTCTTTAATAATTCAGGTTGTATATGAGGATCTAACCATGGTGCACCTTTCATCACCTTATGTTCCAGAATATCTGGCTTTCAGAGAAGTTGAATTCCTTGTTAATTGTGTCTCCAGACTGCTGAAGAGTAAACCAGAACTGGTTCCTCAGGTCATTTTAGTTGATGGAAATGGAATGTTACATCCAAGAGGTTTGATTATTATTTCTTGAAAAAGTGGTGTTGAAACTTCCAATTATGCCAAGTGAAGGTGTGCTTATCCCAAGTCTGTTCAAGAGAATTAATAAATCTATGACTTTAACTACATCACCTGTATCATAACCATAGTTAACGAGGCCTTGTAAGGGTAAAATTCTGACAAGTGATATGGCCTTGAAAAAGTGATATAAGACTAGACGAAAAGGCAACAAACAACATAAAGATGGGTTAAATACTGACAGGGGCATGGCTTACTCGTCAAAACTTATTGGAAATTCAGACTATTGGTATATCCCCCCCCACCCCCGTAAAGTCAAGAGGGCCTCGTTAATAGGACAACCTTATCGAATTCTCTCTTGAGGACTTGAGAGGGCTTAAAAAACCAATCCTTGTTGGACAACATGTTCTGTTATACTGCAAATTAGGAAGTCCCTTGACAGAGTGAGCTTGTGTCAAGGAGTTCATCCCAGTACTTTCAATAACGACAGACTGACAGTAACTGTGACTCAGGCTTATTGAATAAGCCAGTCATTTAAGGCCAGTCATTTAAGGCCCATCTTTGTTTGTGGAACTTCATAATACTCTGTTACATTTTGTTTAGAAGATTAATATTGTAATGACCACTTTCCTGGTCACAGCCACCCAATCCACCACTAGTAGCCAGTTATTGAAAAGTTATAATTGAAACCGCTGCAGTTTTCGAGTATATTATATTGAAAGGCCTGTTTCAACTCCATAGTTTTCCAACTAGCGCATTGTTGGTAGTATGATTTACTTGTTTATGTTGGTTATGACTAGGGTTTGGAATTGCTTGTCACCTGGGGGTACTGACAGGCATCCCTACAGTAGGTGTGGCCAAGACTCTTTTCCATGTTGATGGGATTCAGCGAGACTCCCAACATGCTGACCAGGTCAGGACTAGTGAATGTGTTACAGGACAAAATTAAATTTAGGTTTATAAAGATTTGGTTTAAAAAAGTCATTGGTTTATTAAACAATTTTCTCTGGGGTGACCAGTTAATGCTGAAATTTGTTTTTTCTCATGTTGTCAATAAATTATTGGAAGTAATCATTGGTTTGCTTCCTTTATCAACAGATCAAAAACCTTCTCAAAACTAGCGGAGATAGCTTTCCTCTTCAAGGCTCTTCTGGTACAATATGGGGCAAGGTAAATTTCTTTAGCTTCATTTTGCAATAAATTATATGGAAGAAGTGTGGAAAATAAGGCCATGCATAAGTTATTGATTTTTCTTTTAGAAAACCACAAGGTTAACTGTGGGATAATTCAGCATATTTTGATTTCATTTTAGGCTCTAAGGAGTACTCACAGATCATGTAACCCTATCTATGTGTCGGTTGGGCATAAGATAGGCCTGGAAACAGCTGTTAGACTGACACATGCCTGCTGTCAATACAGAATTCCAGAACCAATCAGACAAGTAAGAATTGTGTAATTGAAAATACTGGAACTAACTGTCATACATTTTACTTATGTAAGAAAGAAGCAATGTTTGTGGAAGTGGGATAAAGATTTTCTGGCCAGATCGTCAGCTTCAGGACACTGTATCAGAGATAAAGGGGGTGGGGGGATATGTCAGTTTATTAGCTGGTAAAAAGTGAGGAAAATAATAGTTTATTAGTAGTATGTGAAGGCAAAAATTTATTCCCTTCATTTCTGTATTATGCAAATATATTGCTGCACAAACTTGCTAAGGGATATGTAGAATACACCAAGTATCCTTAATTGCTGAGAAGGATAAGAAAATTTTGTCTACCACAATCATTTTTTGTCTTTCAGGCAGATATTAGGTCACGAGAGTACCTCAGACAGCATTACATGGAAGAATTAAAAAGCTGTTCATGTAAAAAAGACACTACTATTAACAGTGAAATCTCAACAGTGGAAAAAGATCAGCAGGGAAATGGTGAGAGTCATCTAGAAGAGCTGCAGCAATCATTTTGATGATATAAACCTTGAATAAAAAACTATTTTTTTTATAAATACATTAATACTGGAAATATGCTGGCATTTTCAGTACATGTTAAGATTTTTAAAAAGTTAATATATATTTTAAAGATTTTTTCCTCTTGAAAAACAGTCTTGGAGTTGCAAGAATTTTATTTGTCAAATTCAAGGGGTAATCACTGGTAATAAAGCACTAGAAGTAATGTAGTTCCTCTACTTTTTACAAGATGAGGTTCATTGTGCCTGACATTCATGGACTTTTTGACTGTTTATTTAGACATTACCAGTAACATTAGAAAAATCTCCTTGCTTAACCAATTCTCGGTCTTAATGAGCCACACAGTTTTTTAAGATACAAGGCAATATAAAAGAACTGAACTTTAGAGGAAATCACCTGTAAATTGTTCAAATTGGAAAAAGATATGTAGCATACTAAGAGGTGTATTTTTATGCAGTGATGACCTTCAGTCTCCCCATTTTCCTGGAAGTGTTTTCTTCTGGAGAGAAATTGACCTAAAAAGCCCATCTGTCTGATCCTTTAAATTCAATATATTGACAAACATCTAGAAACCAGAAGTGAGATTCTTGAAAACTCTCTAATAGTATATAGCCCATCTTTGGTGATTTTTGTCAAGAGAGTTTCGTGAATCCACCCATAAGCTCAGTAAGGGTAAATTCTGACAAGACAGTGGTGTGGCCTTGAAAGTGTAAGCCAATAATGAATGGCTTCCAGTGGTGACAAACAACACAAACATGGATTAAAACTGCAACAGCAATGGAGTCAAGTGCAAATAGTGAAATACCCACAGGGAAATGGTTTTCTCCTCAATATCCACTCCCCTCACCTACTGCGGGGCCTATCATTTGACTCTTAAAGCGGGGTATAGGTGATTTCCGGAAAAAAAAAATCTTGCAGACTGATTTCGAGGGGAGAAAAATTATTACACGGAAATACCTGGGGAAAAAATTTCCTACACTGAAAAAAATACCATTCATGGATTATAATCCTGGAAAAAAATCTTACACTGTTGTGTGCTGGGGAAGAGGATTCTATCACCAGAGGTTTAGAGAAAAAATTTTTTTTTGCCCAAACCAAATCACCCATACCCCCCCCTCTAAAGTCAAATGGTGGCCCCTAAACTTCCCTAAACAGGCCTCTTCCTGAGATCTTCCATATTTAGAACTTATTTTTTACTTCCTTGTTCCCTGTCTTGATTGCTGTTCAAAGAGATTTTAATAGGCCTTAGACTATATTAATATTCCAGAGAAGTCAAAAAGTCACTTTTGGCTAGTCATTCTTACCTGTACATGGGAAGGGGGGTCCTATATAAGCCTAAGAGGTATGTGCCATCCCAAAAGGTATTTTTTTGCACCATTTTGGTCTGAAAATGAGTATAGACTCTAACCAGTTTAGGCTGGAACTGGGTATGAACTTTTTTTGCCAGAGGCATATGTGAATTTGAGATGAATTTTGAGAAACGTCTTTGTTGGTGTCCTAATCTAAGTAATGATTACATAGAGGCCAGGTCTGAAAACGGCTGTGGAAAATGACATGGTTTGAGGTAGAGTTGGGATTTGGTGAACTGGGCAGCATACTTCCACCAAGAATTCCCAGAAGTACTACCCCTCCCTTACCCCCTGAGTACCAGTATCTTTGGGGCGAAATGAGTTTCAAAAGGGGGCTAACTAACCAGGGCTAGATGACTGGGCCTGAGTTGTTCAAAAGCTGGAAAAGAAATGCTATCCAGTGGACAATGCAATCGGAGTGAATGATGTAACTTTCCGGCATCAGTTGAAAGTGAACGAATTTTGTCCTAAATACATCAATCCCAAAATGTACAAAGTTATTGAACTTGTATATTGACTAATGTTTCATTGACTACTGTTTCTTATTTGATTATCAGTTGAAGTCATATGAACTACTTTTACTTAATTGTACTGTACATAGCGCACTCCACAGAAGTGAATGTTGGCATCTTGTATGCTCCAGAATCAGCTAAGGGTGCGTGAATCTTGATCTGCCGCATGTGAGTGTCCCTGCCATTCTGATGATTTGCCAAAACAGCGATCTGCAGCATGTAAGTTCTCAAGGGCTTATCTCCATCAGACAACGAAACGGTTAACCATCCACTCGGCTCCTCAAGCTCTATCAGTTCTATCTGATGCAAATCATGAAAATGGTTTCCAGCTCGAATGGATATTTTACTAGGTGTATAACTTTCATCAGCTTTGTAATCGGCGTACAAACAAAGGTTCTGAATGGCTGTCTTTCGACGGAATTGAATACTGACCAAGTGCGGTTGAGGGCCGTCCGATTGCCAGTACGTTTCTAAGTTTCCATCACGCAGTTGTTCTACGCCAAATCCAGGTTTGCATGAGGATAAGGACCACACTGCTTGATCGCCGATTTCTCTGTATTTTTCGCCGCTTATTCCATCAATTTGTTGCTCGGCATTTGAAAGATCTTCCGCTCGAACCGCCATTTTGAATTTGGCGCTGTCAGTAAGCATGCGTCACTGGGAATAGCCGCTGAAAAAAAATTGACTTCTTACTTTACAATACAGACGCCATATTCGGACACACTTTGGTAGAATCCACAAAATGGTAAGTTTTTTACCGCATTTGGTGGTACTTCTTTGATATTTTATACTGTCAAAAGAGGACTTAATATTTAACTTACTCTTTAAACTGCTGAGCAGCAGAAATGTACGTTTGAAGTCTAGTTAAATGCTGTCATTTGTAAGTCAGATGAATGCATTTAAGCTCAACAGTTTTTCTGAGTGTTAAAATACACTATGCTTACTTCTCAGCGATGCTGCGTGCTTGAAAACTTTGTTCTTATTGTGTTAAAATAACTTTGGCCCGGTCCATAGGTCATACTTCTGCCTTACTAAACTTAATTCTTGAACAAAGTTCTGACAAGCAAAAGCATGATGTCTGAACGCAGGGATCCCACACAACCTGTTTGTGTATTTTATATATCTACTAACACTCACGAATTATAACTCTCATGCCTGTGGAAAAAAGATGCGGATCTCAGGCATCAAGGACAATTTCTCATGCCTCACTCTCAAATCTGGATGAATAGCATAGGATTAATGATGAAAATCGACTCCATTCCCTTTAAGATATTCCAAAAAGGTGCTTAATGTTGGCCCTGTTGACTTTGTTCCCTAATAGTATCACAGTATGCTAAAATTGTTGCCTTCATAAGGGCTTCAGAAATGCTCAAAACTCTAGACTGTTCACAGTCCCCTATTTTTCTAAGATCATTGCGCGCTTTGCATTAAGGGCAGCCATCTTGGATGAGTGTCAAAACTAATACGCTCAATTTTGACGATCTTACGAAAAAGTAGGGGAATGTGAACAGTCTATCAAAACTTGTGAGGATGTCTTTGTTCAGAATGTTATGACTCAACCATTTGATCTTCTAGTCAGAATTAGTGGTTTCCTCATGTTACATGGTATCAGTGGGGTATATCCGTAGTAAGTGGATAGTAAAAATAGGATTTAGTAAGTTAAAACATGTGTATCTAAAATATAGTGATTGCAGTATAATTAATTTTGTAGCATGCTATATGGGGGTCAGTTGGTGTTTTGTAAGCGGTATGTTTACAGTAGCAACATGTTGGCTACTGTCTGCCAGGATACTAAGGTTGAAAATCAAGTGTCTAATATCTGAAAAGTTACCCAGTGCTCTTCATCCATTTATATCTGATCCTGACGATTTACTCTGCAGACAGACAGATACAACATTCACAGTCAACTGGAACATCGTAAGTTCACTAACAGTCAATAATAAATTCATTTTTAACTTAAACTCTCTGTAGACTAACCTCTCTGGGATACCTCAGGTTATGCTCTCTTCATGTTCTTCTTTTCATGGCTCAAATTTTACTGTTTAGTCCACTAGCAAAGTTTGTGCAAGCCATTTTTTTTGGCTGGAAAAGCAGTAACTTCAGCAGCTACCTTTTGTCCCTGCGGTTGAGGGTGTCGCAGAAAAGCAAGATTATAATATACCTTGAAACAAAACCCTGAAAAAGTTGCACACAAAACATCTCTCACCCAGTAGAGTACAAATGTGCAGAAAAAATTTGCATAGGTTTGATGTCTAGTTAATGCTATGAAACCAACCTCATTTCCTCATGGTGTTCAATGTATGCATACAAGAACACTTTCATTTCACTCTCAAATTTTTGCAAGAACAGAATTTTTCAAGAACACTTTCATTTCACTCTCAATTTTTTACAGGAGAAATGTTTGCTTGCAAAAATGTTTGCTAGAGGACATTTGCTACTTTCAAAAACCAACTATATTTTGTGAGTTTTTAATTGCTGAAAATCTTGTTTTTATTAGTTTGTTTGTGTGTACTACTGTAGCAAACTTATTTTTCTCTTTCATCATAGTTCAGTCAAAGTATGTTGGAACTGGGCACTCAGACACAACAAAATTGTAAGTGAATGAAGTTACCTTTAATCTCGTCACTGAAATGCAACCATGCAAAGATGGCAACTTTCAAAATTGATTGTACATAGCATTTGAGTTGTTTGTTATTGTTCAGAACATGATTGTTTTAGTGGGTTGAAAATCACTGTGCTGCTTCACCCTTTCAAGTATTTTTTCAATGTGGGAAACCAAATGCATATGTAGATATATATGTCATTTCCTTGATGTGGTGGAAGGAGGTTGTGCCAAGTGGGATGTTTGTTAAAACTCACTTTGGAAACAAAGTTCTACTACAATCTATAGGAGACATTGTTGTTTAGAAACGTTGTTTTGGTTTTTCAAATATGTGTTGTGGTTCAATTTTTTTCTTGGTTTAAATTTTATTTCCCTTTGTTTTTGGGTATGGTAATGTATGATAATGAGTTTGAAACAAAGGAAAATAAAATTTAAACCAAGGATAAAATTGAACCACAACATAATTATGTAATGAGTAAAACAAAGGAATCTTTTGTTACAAGAACCAATGTGCTTCTGTTGGCACATTAATATTAATAGGTAACGTCATAGTGAGTATTGATGAAATTCTATGGGAGGATTTGATATCTTAAGCTTAGATCTCCGCAGTAGAATAACACCAACATCCACAGGATAGTCCCGTCTCTAGCTAATGTGTTTTTTGTTTGTTTGTGTCTTTTAGTGAGTGGCTAGTCAATCAACACAGAGACAGTGCAGCATCCTACATTGGCCACTACAATCTACTGGATTACTTTGCCTTAGTAGAAAATGAATCAAGGGCTAGAACAAAGTTTAACCTTTTAGAGGTAGTCTGTTGAATTTTTTTGACTGAAACTTGTGTTTATTTGTTAAATATTACCAGTTATTTTTTTTAATGTGGATTGTTTGAAAGCTTAATTAACTTGAAGTGTCTTTACTCATCTCTTTTCCTCCTTGTGTGACTTTTCTAGATGCCCTATAAGCAGAGGTGTATTATTAAATTATTCTTTTTTGCACTTCATACTGTATGCACCTGCCTGTCACATTGGCTGTTTCTTTTCATCTAGAAATAGGCAGCGTGCAAAAAGTAAAAAATAGACTATGGAATAAAAAAAGAGGAGAAGACTTGTTCAGCCAACGTCTTATTTTTATGTCTTATTTTATAATAGTTATTCTGTGAATTGAGAAATTCTTCCTTAGGTGGTCAGCCTGGGTAAAATTCAAGCCTATGAATTATTGGAAGTTACTTTATCACAATTTGTTTAAGTGATGTACTTACTTAGCATAATAACCTGCTTTACTGTAGAAAATGCTGCAACCCTGTGGCACACCACCACACAGACCTGATCAAGATTAGCACAGCCAACCATATTTAAAGGTGAGCATTGGCGTATGTTTTCATGTTCCAAAAAAAATAACCTGATGGTGTCCTGTAGGTGTATTTATGTTTTGTGCAATTTCTCTTATTGGATTTCAAAGTTTGTGTAGTAGTGAGTGTAACAGATGAGTCATGGCAACAGTCCAAGAAGAAAAATTGGAGGTTACTAAAAATTTTATTTGCATGTTGCCCTTACATTGCACAAATGTGGTGGTCATGATATAGAGACCTTTGATTCTAAGACGAAGACAACTATGAGATTTTCTCAATACTATGTAGTGCTTGCGCGTTAACCAGTGTCATTTTGGAGAGAAAATGCAAATAGCTGTCATCATTCTACTTACTGCGAGTTTTAACGAAACTGTTGTAGTGGCAGAAATAATAATTTTATCAATGGTTAGAAGTTCTATCATTTTTCAATCAGGAGAGAACTTTCCCTCCTTCAATAAAAATAAAAGTGCTAACTTTTTTTGTGAATAAAAAATTAATACAATTATAAAACTTTTCGAGGTGCGAAAAAACTTTCATGTAATCTCGGCCTTGTAGTCTTCCTGGTTCTTGAATCTAAAGGCCTGTAATGCTTGGAGCACTGATAACAAATTTTCATCGTTCAAAAAACATTTACAAGTTTTTGAGTGTGATGACGAGATAAAATTACGGCACATCAAGAAACAGAGTTTCTATTGGATTATTAAAGTTCTTTAATTTTTTTACTAAAAAAATCTCTTAAAATGTGGACAGTCATTCACCTAGTCTCTTTTCTTCACACCTTGGCCATTTTACACCTCCAGTTGTGTGTACAGCCGTTTTTTTCTTTTTTACGTTTCATTGGATGGACTAAGAAAAAAAAAGGCTGCTGTAGCCTGCTGTAGATATAATTTGTGAGCATAGAGACAGAGCCTTAAGTTGTTTCTCTGAGAATCCACATAACTGTTTGCATGGCATAAGAGCGAGGGAGTATTTTGAAAAAACAACAATCGAGTCTATGTGTTGTAATTAAGAAGCTTGTTTACGGCTTGAAAAAGTTTTGGATTCTTTGCACATGAGAACTTGGTCATTTTAGTGGACAAAGATTACCAGGATAGGTTTTCTCTTGTTCTAATCATCATTTTTTGTTTTGCCTTTTTTCCAGATTCTGTTCAATGTTTCGTCTTCGCCCTCACCAGAATGTGTTTGATTACGTAACCGTTCACGTTGCTATGGACACATATTGTCACACCTGTGCGTATCCAAATGCCGCCTAGGCTCTTCCTGCATTTTAGATAGAAAGAGACATCACTCTAAAATACACCTTTAAGACTTCTTTTAAACGGTTTTCTATTTGAATGGTCTCAGTCTAAAAAGCTTTTCATTTTGTCGTAGTTGAGCTTAATATGCAATTTTTCTCATAGCCTGTAAAGTCATGTAAGCAATTTTCTCTCATAATTAAATAAAATATGACTTCAAATGTGGACGTGGACTTTGGATCCTGTCAAATGACGAGTCAAACTGAACCGAACATACGTTTTTGAACAAGAGAAACAGGAACCTGGATTAAAATTTAACGCCCCGGGTTAGCGATAATCGGCCTTTGAACAAATGTGCCTCTTTAATAGAACCATAGGACCATGGGCATGATTAACCTCCTCGTCAGGGTATCACTTCTCAATACCGCCCATGACTGGGGCATTACGAGCTGACTTACAATTTTAGCAACCTTATGCAGTACAATAAGCAGCGTTTCTGGCAAGTACTGCTGATTAGAAGTCTTGCAAGAGTTTGGATCGTCTTGCATGACCCACGGTATAGAATATGAAGGGCTTTTAATTAAAGTGTAAAAATCCCATCGATTAACACCTTTTCATTTCAGCCCGCGAGCGTTAATTAAGCTTATTCGCCACTTCACAGAGGTGTGAGAGTAGATTTTTGCTCAGAAGCCTCAACAACACATTTATAGCGCATACAGACATCAGAGAATACATTTACTTGACTTCTAAGTAAACTGTGTGAAAGATCATGGCATTCAGACATTCGACATGACAGTAACAAGACAGTCGTTTTTTCATGAGCTCCAGTTAAATCATTAGTACTAACTTTACTGTAAGAAGAAAATTTATGGAAGGTCAGCTAATTAGCCAGTAGACGAATGCTTTTTACGACTGGTTATTGTTATGTTTTTCACTGAAGGATTAAATATTGTACGAGACTTGATTTATGTTTGTTTGTTGTTTTGTGTCAAACAAAAAGCATCGTTAAGTCCGGACTGATTTGTCTGATACATGAACAGGCGCCGATCATTCAACTGAAAGGACACGTATAAGCAATAAAATCAACGAAAAGAACAAGTCTAGATCTTAGAGCTGTTTGAGGGGGAGAGAGAGAGAGAGCCTTTTTCACGCCTTAAAAATAAACCATTCAACAAAACAAAAACTACTCACCAATTAACAGTGAATTTCTATTTTCTCTAGTTAAAAACTCCTTAAAAACTCAGGATATTGAATATCCAAATTTTTAAGACAGCTATTTTGGTAATTTTTGGATGTAATTGCTGTTGCAATTTTTTAAACTGACAACTGTTTCGGTACAATGTTTGAAAAGAGAGAGTAGTGTTATTTACAAGAAGACTATACGAAAAGTGTTGTTTACTAATATTGTACAAGAAAAGACTGATCCAATTTTGAGCGTGTGAGTAACCATTGCATGTATTAGCGATTTCTAGTGGTGCATGAAAATAAAAAGATAATTGAGTACGAGATCTCTGAACGCTGAAAAATGAAATCATCGACGCAAGTAACATCTAAGCGACAGGACATCGATCTTTCAAAATAACTTAAGGTCACTAAAGTTATTTGCAAATTAATACTCCATTAACAAGTCACTGTGTTTACTGTTAGAACAATATAAAAAGTTACTATATCCAGGGGACCCTTTCTATGAAGTAGATTAAAATGTAACTGAAGCCAACATGATTTTTTCCCGAGATAAGTATTACATTTAAGAACGGAACTCTTTCCAATTGAATCAAGATCGTTGAAAAATAGAAAGTAAAACAAATCTTTATTAAGAAAAAAGTCGGCAACAGTAAAGAAAAAATCTTCATAACTTTCAATGATGTCCTAATTCTCTAATCCCGGCACACAAAAGCAAAGTGGAATCATGTATATATCATTACCATAGTGTTTATTCGCGTTATGTCGACAAATAACACTTAAATTAACGAACTCGGACGTAAAGAGCGATCTTTTACGGTTTAGGTTTCACCGCTATGGAGTTTTCTTTCATATATATAACAGGCGAGTGATAGCTTGGAAAAACGCAGACTTAAATTGATTGTGTGAGGTTGAAAGACTGGTGGGCGCGATTATGACATCATAGGTTTTTTTGTTTCATTTCTTCAGTAATAAACCGTGTGCCAGGCTCTTTAGATAATCATTTTAACCACAAGGGAATAATCTTGTTGTCATTTAATTGGTCATCGGTCTTACTTTTATAGACAGATGGGTAGTTTATTCAAATCCACCTTTCAATAAGCTTTTGCACAACAGACATTATGCCAAGTGGCTTCTTTGAAGCTCATAATCGTCTGCCTCGCATCCGATCATAAGGACCTTGTTTTTGTGCAATGTGGGAGACTGTGTCTCCAAGTGAGAAACATTTTGACGACGAGAGAAAGTGTATTTCTGCTGAGCATGGATCCTGTCACATCGTTGAAAATCATAGTCTTTCCAAGCCTTGAAGACAAGATATTTGCTTCGGACCGGAAAGGTTTCTACCCAACTTCATNAAACGGTTTTCTATTTGAATGGTCTCAGTCTAAAAAGCTTTTCATTTTGTCGTAGTTGAGCTTAATATGCAATTTTTCTCATAGCCTGTAAAGTCATGTAAGCAATTTTCTCTCATAATTAAATAAAATATGACTTCAAATGTGGACGTGGACTTTGGATCCTGTCAAATGACGAGTCAAACTGAACCGAACATACGTTTTTGAACAAGAGAAACAGGAACCTGGATTAAAATTTAACGCCCCGGGTTAGCGATAATCGGCCTTTGAACAAATGTGCCTCTTTAATAGAACCATAGGACCATGGGCATGATTAACCTCCTCGTCAGGGTATCACTTCTCAATACCGCCCATGACTGGGGCATTACGAGCTGACTTACAATTTTAGCAACCTTATGCAGTACAATAAGCAGCGTTTCTGGCAAGTACTGCTGATTAGAAGTCTTGCAAGAGTTTGGATCGTCTTGCATGACCCACGGTATAGAATATGAAGGGCTTTTAATTAAAGTGTAAAAATCCCATCGATTAACACCTTTTCATTTCAGCCCGCGAGCGTTAATTAAGCTTATTCGCCACTTCACAGAGGTGTGAGAGTAGATTTTTGCTCAGAAGCCTCAACAACACATTTATAGCGCATACAGACATCAGAGAATACATTTACTTGACTTCTAAGTAAACTGTGTGAAAGATCATGGCATTCAGACATTCGACATGACAGTAACAAGACAGTCGTTTTTTCATGAGCTCCAGTTAAATCATTAGTACTAACTTTACTGTAAGAAGAAAATTTATGGAAGGTCAGCTAATTAGCCAGTAGACGAATGCTTTTTACGACTGGTTATTGTTATGTTTTTCACTGAAGGATTAAATATTGTACGAGACTTGATTTATGTTTGTTTGTTGTTTTGTGTCAAACAAAAAGCATCGTTAAGTCCGGACTGATTTGTCTGATACATGAACAGGCGCCGATCATTCAACTGAAAGGACACGTATAAGCAATAAAATCAACGAAAAGAACAAGTCTAGATCTTAGAGCTGTTTGAGGGGGAGAGAGAGAGAGAGCCTTTTTCACGCCTTAAAAATAAACCATTCAACAAAACAAAAACTACTCACCAATTAACAGTGAATTTCTATTTTCTCTAGTTAAAAACTCCTTAAAAACTCAGGATATTGAATATCCAAATTTTTAAGACAGCTATTTTGGTAATTTTTGGATGTAATTGCTGTTGCAATTTTTTAAACTGACAACTGTTTCGGTACAATGTTTGAAAAGAGAGAGTAGTGTTATTTACAAGAAGACTATACGAAAAGTGTTGTTTACTAATATTGTACAAGAAAAGACTGATCCAATTTTGAGCGTGTGAGTAACCATTGCATGTATTAGCGATTTCTAGTGGTGCATGAAAATAAAAAGATAATTGAGTACGAGATCTCTGAACGCTGAAAAATGAAATCATCGACGCAAGTAACATCTAAGCGACAGGACATCGATCTTTCAAAATAACTTAAGGTCACTAAAGTTATTTGCAAATTAATACTCCATTAACAAGTCACTGTGTTTACTGTTAGAACAATATAAAAAGTTACTATATCCAGGGGACCCTTTCTATGAAGTAGATTAAAATGTAACTGAAGCCAACATGATTTTTTCCCGAGATAAGTATTACATTTAAGAACGGAACTCTTTCCAATTGAATCAAGATCGTTGAAAAATAGAAAGTAAAACAAATCTTTATTAAGAAAAAAGTCGGCAACAGTAAAGAAAAAATCTTCATAACTTTCAATGATGTCCTAATTCTCTAATCCCGGCACACAAAAGCAAAGTGGAATCATGTATATATCATTACCATAGTGTTTATTCGCGTTATGTCGACAAATAACACTTAAATTAACGAACTCGGACGTAAAGAGCGATCTTTTACGGTTTAGGTTTCACCGCTATGGAGTTTTCTTTCATATATATAACAGGCGAGTGATAGCTTGGAAAAACGCAGACTTAAATTGATTGTGTGAGGTTGAAAGACTGGTGGGCGCGATTATGACATCATAGGTTTTTTTGTTTCATTTCTTCAGTAATAAACCGTGTGCCAGGCTCTTTAGATAATCATTTTAACCACAAGGGAATAATCTTGTTGTCATTTAATTGGTCATCGGTCTTACTTTTATAGACAGATGGGTAGTTTATTCAAATCCACCTTTCAATAAGCTTTTGCACAACAGACATTATGCCAAGTGGCTTCTTTGAAGCTCATAATCGTCTGCCTCGCATCCGATCATAAGGACCTTGTTTTTGTGCAATGTGGGAGACTGTGTCTCCAAGTGAGAAACATTTTGACGACGAGAGAAAGTGTATTTCTGCTGAGCATGGATCCTGTCACATCGTTGAAAATCATAGTCTTTCCAAGCCTTGAAGACAAGATATTTGCTTCGGACCGGAAAGGTTTCTACCCAACTTCATCGAGCGCGTTCAATACAAAGGGTACGCTTGCCAACAGACAAATACAAAACGGTGACCGAATAGACTTAAGGAAACTAGCGGCTGAACGCAAGATTTCGGGAAATAAAAGACAGTTTAGCTGCCCTAGTATCATCGATTTTAACACCTTAAAATCATACCAAGAAATTCGTCCCATGCACAAGCCAAAAAGGATTTTCAATGGTTTCTTCCCTTCGAGAGTTAGATCCACGATCTCTGTGGGATTACAGGGTGCTTACAGAGATGGTCAGGTAAGTCAGTCGCTTAAATCACTATCTGTAGATAGACTATTACATTGCCATTTGTATCAATTCTAGAGTTACATACTCCAAATGCCCCGTTTCCTACATAAATTCGTTTTCCCTGACTCGAAAAAACAAAACTTAATGGCAAGAAACCGGATTTCTGCATGAGAAATTTTTCTTTCGGCTTTCCTGTTTTTTTTTTTTTCGAAATCGACGGAGGCTTTTTTTTAGTTCGGTCTCTAAGTAGTCCAACTTTCCAGGGGCTGCTTTAAGCTGTAGGTTTTGTAGTTTATATTGATATATTGTTATCGTAACGAGGTGGTTTAAAAGGAAGCCGGTTAGCATGTCGTTAAAGACTTCAAAGGTTGATGTTACGATGTGCGTTTCTTTCCGGCTATCCCTAAACCAACTCAGTTTTTTGGAAAATGAAAAAAGTCATGAGAAAAAAACAACAAAACACAACACAGAACAAAAGTGTTTTCCCTTATGTACTAAGCTAAGAGCACTACATCCCTTCTATGAAAACAACGTCTTTTTTTGCGTTTCATTATCACCAATTAGTAAACGTTTGTTGAATTTTATTTGTTAACACGATTACCCGTTGAAAACGAGTGAACAACACATTATGTCGTCTTTTCTTTAAACATTAGTTCTTAAACATATTTACAGCTAGGAATAACCTTGCTGAATTGCATGATTCCTGGTCTTAGCTTTGAAATTCATTTTTGCCTGACCCAACGGGTGAATGATTTTGGACGTAAAGGATGGGAAACATGTAACCATGTAAACCGCGCGTGGGACCCTCACAAGGCGCTAAAATCTAGTACACACTTACAGCACTTACATCACTCGGTACAACACTCGGTACATCCACTTGTTTTTCTGTCTTTAAGTTAAAGCGATGTTTTATCACTTTTCAGGAACTTACTCTCGAAGAACTCGTTCCAAATCCAAACACACCACCATACCACGATGGAGCAGTGCTTTCTCGGAATGCAACTTCAAGAAACAGCAGCTTACGATCAGAGCCCATCACTTTTCCGAACGAATCCGAGTCCCGTCTGAAAACAAAACAAGACTCGAGGAGGGTAGTGTACTCACTCAGAAATGGCTCCCCATCCCCCTGGGTGGACAGATACAAACTGAAGCAGAAATCAATTTCCGCGTTAACTTATGTGGAACTCAAAAACAAGACCTCCCCTGCTGAGGAACCGCCTGTTCGGGGATTTTCCAGATAGCAGGATTTAGGCAGAAGACAGTTATTTCATTTCCCGCGGAATAAATTCAAATCTTAGTTAATAATGTGGTTCTGTGGATGCCTGAAGAATTTCTTCATTTTTCTGCGTGCTATGTGAGCCTCCAATCGGATCACGAACGAGGAAAAAGCGCGGGAAAACGGAGTTCAGCAAAATTATTTTAGTTCCTCAGCTTTTTCCTGATTGGTTAAAAGTCGACTCATATTCCGGAGTCTAGACCAATCAAATAAGCACAAGAAATGGAGTTTGTCTGCGACAAAACCCCGCAATCGGATTTTTCAGGGCTCATTTGTTTATACATGCGGAAATGCTCGTAGGGGCCATGAACTTGCTTTGTTGCTTCAGGGTGTTCACGAGTTGTTAGCCGCACGTTTGACGAAAAGTTAATTAAACGTAATTTATGTAAAATGCAATGTTCTCCAAATGGGGAAACTGAATTCTTTTTTTCCTTGTTATATGGCGTGAATACCTTTATAAAGTATACACAGCGAATTATGGGATAAAAAAATGAGTACAAAGTAACGTTGTTTGTGCCCTATCGTTATTTAGTAAAATTACGTTAAAATACTCTTACTCCATGATACCATTTTGGCTAGAAAGTTCACAAGGAGCTGCCTTCTAAATCGACCCAACTCGACTTAAATTTTCCACATCCCGCATTTTATGCTACAAATAGACTGAACGTGAGAAAAAAAATACACTGACGACGAAGGTTATATTGGTGAACTTTAGGGCCTAATCTGATATTTAGTCTTGAGCAGAATTATACTATTGAAAGTTCTAGACTAGCGCTTTTTCAGCAAGCCGTATTTTCTCCTCAAGTTCTTGATCACTGTTCATCAGATTTTCGATGTCCTTCAGGCTCATTTCTAACAGCATTCCTGTGATTTTGTCTGCATATTGTGGACATATTTCTTCAACCACCTCAAACAATTTTTCGCCAAGCTTTTCTTTAGTTACGTGGCCTTCAGTTTTGGTCTCTTGCCTGTAAAACATTACCGAGAAACGCTTTATAAACAAACTGAATGGAATATAAATATTTTTACTTATTTATATACATTGCAGTTCAATACCCTCATTAGTTTTTTTTGTAAATGTATTTTCTTNTCTAGACCAATCAAATAAGCACAAGAAATGGAGTTTGTCTGCGACAAAACCCCGCAATCGGATTTTTCAGGGCTCATTTGTTTATACATGCGGAAATGCTCGTAGGGGCCATGAACTTGCTTTGTTGCTTCAGGGTGTTCACGAGTTGTTAGCCGCACGTTTGACGAAAAGTTAATTAAACGTAATTTATGTAAAATGCAATGTTCTCCAAATGGGGAAACTGAATTCTTTTTTTCCTTGTTATATGGCGTGAATACCTTGATAAAGTATACACAGCGAATTATGGGATAAAAAAATGAGTACAAAGTAACGTTGTTTGTGCCCTATCGTTATTTAGTAAAATTACGTTAAAATACTCTTACTCCATGATACCATTTTGGCTAGAAAGTTCACAAGGAGCTGCCTTCTAAATCGACCCAACTCGACTTAAATTTTCCACATCCCGCATTTTATGCTACAAATAGACTGAACGTGAGAAAAAAAATACACTGACGACGAAGGTTATATTGGTGAACTTTAGGGCCTAATCTGATATTTAGTCTTGAGCAGAATTATACTGTTGAAAGTTCTAGACTAGCGCTTTTTCAGCAAGCCGTATTTTCTCCTCAAGTTCTTGATCACTGTTCATCAGATTTTCGATGTCCTTCAGGCTCATTTCTAACAGTATTCCTGTGATTTTGTCTGCATATTGTGGACATATTTCTTCAACCACCTCAAACAATTTTTCGCCAAGCTTTTCTTTAGTTACGTGGCCTTCAGTTTTGGTCTCTTGCCTGTAAAACATTACCGAGAAACGCTTTATAAACAAACTGAATGGAATATAAATATTTTTACTTATTTATATACATTGCAGTTCAATACCCTCATTAGTTTTTTTTGTAAATGTATTTTCTTCGCTTTTGGGGCTGAGTTAACGTTTGCAAAGACTTCTGGGACGGTTACTAGGGGCGGGAAAAATTGGCCAATAGCTGACCGGCGCTTAGACTGACGCATCCCCGGTAACGATTCCAGAGGTCTTTGCGAAATTTAACTTGGCATTGTTTCCTCCTTATTTCTAAAGTGGTGAATATTTCAGGCGTTTACGTGGGTACAGGCACATAGGTAGCAATGCCCCTGGGAAAAGTAAAATTTGCACCAAATATGGTTGACTCTATTAAACCACAAAAAAACCCTGAATTTTGGTGTTTATCTGCTAAGGAATTGCCCTACAAATGTTGCATTGATAGGGGTGTATCAGGTTTATAAGGTCCTCAGTCTCTATTTCATGTCTAGTTAGTATACATTTTAAATTCAATTAAACTCTATTATCTCAAAACCCCCAAGGGAAACAAGAAATAGTTTAACCTGGCAGTGGTTCAATTTACTGGGGTAAATTAACTGTCAAAGAGAAAAGGGAAAAAGTAAAATTAGTTCGAGTCAGAAGTAAGACTGTTTTTGGTTGGTCAGGCTGACTTTTTTGCTCGCTCGGTTGCTGTGTGATCACATTCAAGCTCACTTCACTCACTTTAAAGACTGCTCTTGATCGAGAACTTGTGAGGAGTTGACTTGGAGTAAGTCTAGTCAGTAGTGGCGAGCTTGAGTCATCCAAGTTAGAGTTAACTGGGGTTCTTCTGAATAAAACTACATCGAATAAAAAAAAGAATATTCAGCATTCCAGAGCTCTCCCCCTTATTCCAACAAGAAGTTAAGGATGTCCATTTTAAAGTGTGGGGCAACTGGAAGTCCACATCACTTTCTAAAAAGAGATTAACGACAGTGTTTGAGCAGACTGTAACAAAATAAGCAAGGAAGGGGAATGGTTCCTATCTCATCCAGGCAAGTCTTCTGCAAAATCCATGCCTTTGGTCCAATGTAGCTAGGACTACTTACCTACATACTACTTAGATGTTCATAATAAACAAGCTCAAATAACAACTCTCACCTGTTTGGACCAGCTTGCGCATTCCTTTGGTCTACATCCAACACCCCATTGATTTTCTCTTTCAACAGTTTTTTATTCAGAACCAAAGTTTCCAGGGTAGCACGGTCTTTTTCAGAATTCATAATCATTCCTGTTATTTTTCCAGCCTCAGTTGGATACCATTCTTTTATGATGCTACACAACTGTTCATCTAAATCATTTTGTGTTTCAGAGTCTGAGATTTTTTTGTCTTCAGTCTCTAGACCCACTTCTTCAGGAGACTGTGAATGTTCCTTTATAATATTTGTATTAGTAAGAGCACTTGCTGCTTGCAAGGCTTTGTCTTTAAGTGCCACAGAATCCTCAATCAACAATTTTAGTGTGGAAACATCCAGCTCTAAAAGCATTCCAGTGATTTTATCAGCCTGCTCAGGGTACCATTCACTAATTGAACAATAAAGTTGTTCACCATATAGTTTCTTGTCTGAGTTTTCTTCAGCCAAGGTTTTAGTTTCTGCGTGATTAACATGGCTGTTCAAAGCCATTGACGCCTCATTAATTTTGTCCTCAAGAGCTGCTTGATTTTGAACAATAACTTCTAAATCTTGAAGATCCATCTCGAGAAGCATCCCTGTTATCTTGTCAGCTTGTTCTGAATTGAATGCACTGACCAATTCAAACAGCTTTTCTCCAATCACTGCTTTATCGGAGTGTTCCTTTGATTGAGACACACTTTGACTATTTTGAGAGACTTCAGAAGTATTTTGTAAAACTGCCAAAGCTTCTTCCACCTTCTGTTCTAACAGGTCTTTGTCATTCACAAGTTCTTCTAAGCTTTGAATATCCATTTCTAATAAGATTCCTGTCAATATAGCTGCATCACATGGGTAGCATTTTTCTATTAAAGAGTATATCTTTTCACCCACGGCCTGTTTCTTCTCTGATATTCTGGAACAGTCTGTATATCTTCCAAATGGTGACAACTCTCTTCTCTCTGATAGACCACTGTTTTCACAATCACCCTGTTCTTTTACATCTGTTGGTATGCTGTGCATTACCTTCTTGTCACTTTCATTTTGTGTATGACTTGCCTGCAGTCCATTCCTTTCCCTGAAGTTGTTTAAAACAGTGTAAGCTGTTAAAATAATTTGTACTGTCTTGAAGTCTAAGAGTTAAATTTAAAAACCAGTTGGATTGATAGACATGATAATCAAGGACCAGAGGGAGAAATTGACAACCTTTCATGAAGTTAGTGAACTAATGGCTATTTATGGTGCATCATTTTTTGTTTGCTTCTTAGAGCAGAGATTCAAGTCTCATACAAATCCAGGTAGTTGCCAACAAGACTCCCATATTAGGGGGGGGGGGGGGGGATTAATTGGGCTACTGACTGCATGGGGCGGGGGTTTTTTGTTTTGGGAAGTAAAGATAATAATTACCTTTTTTACCGGTTTTTGTTTAAAAATACCCCTAACCGGGGGAATGGGATAGAGTTAGCCTTTTGGGGCAAGAAACTATTGGTTTTTTTTTTTATGGGAGCATTT